TAACGCGCGGCATCGCCTGTTAAGGTCACCATGGCTGACAGAGCTGCTGCCGAAAGGGCTTGCAAGGACCCCAACCCCATCATCGATGGCAGGAAAGCCAACGTGAACCTGGCCTACCTGGGTGCCAAGCCGCGGATAATGCAGCCAGGTGAGGAAGCGGCCCCGAACGGCTTTTCTCTCTGTCCCTCAGGTTCCCGAAGACGGTAAAACTTTAAAAAAGGCAGTGCTGTCCGGCACTTTCCTGAAGGACGCTCAGCGTTTGGGTGTGCTTTGGTTTTGATTTTTCAATGCGGCGCATAGTAACTTTCTGCCTAGTTTGTACGTGTGCCTTATTAAAGAAACGAAAGCAATCAGAGATAAAATATCTGCAGTTCCCCAGGAAGACTTCCACAGCTGAGACGCTTCACCAGTTATTCTTACTGCTGGGAATGCGGTGGCGCTGACCATTTACAGTATCGTTGCAGGGAAAGATTGGCCTAGGAATTAATCGCTTCCAATGTGTGCGGTCTTATTAATACAAACAGTATCTTAATGCAAACTCCTCAAACAGATGGGAGCTATTATGCAGACTTTAAAATGAAACGGCTTTTCCTAAGACCACATCTGAGCCAATCTGATGTCCTAGCCGCTTCCCAAACTGCTGCTTTGCAGCGAGGGAGACAGGAGCGCGGAGTGCGTGCACGTTTGTGCTCTAAAGGAGGCTGCTCTGAATGCCCATGTGCTTAGCCTGAGGAACGCTTGTGTGGGTAGTTAAGTGCCCACCAAGGAAAGAAGGGGTTTATGCTTGGCCAGATGTAGAACAAAAATGCAGTTAGGATTTGACCCCCATGCTAAGTCCTCATGAGTAGTGATGGCTCGAATTTAAGTCTGTCAAAAGTACACGAATACAGTGATGAACAGAAAGTACCGTATAATCTTTCAGAGGCTAAAGTTAGGGACCGGAATGGAACACAAAATAAAATGTGAATGAAAACCTTGTGCTTGTTGTTTAGAAAAAGTCATTCTTCTAAACATCTTGAGGAAAGTATGTGCTTTACTGTTCTATATGTGTGCATATATATATATATATGGATTGATATAATTTGCTTTTAATTTGTGGTTCTGCAGCCTTTCCGACATCATCACTGGAGGTTGTTAGTGAAGGCTGTTACTCCGCGTTTGTGTGCGTGTGTATATATAGCGTAAATAAGTGGCCAAAAGAACACCCATACAGAGAATGTGATGTGTTTTTGTTGGTAGGTTTTGCCTTTGGTGTCCAGCAGCTTCATCCAGCTCTCATACAGAGGCCTTTTGGGTAAGTCTGTTCAATGGCACCTCATATAGGGGAGGAAAAATCTTTTTTTTAAAAAAGGAAAGAAAAAGTATGATCCTTGATCTTGCAGTAGCAGCCTTATAAACTCACCAGCAGCGCTGAAGTTCTCAGACTCATAAATGTATACCCGTAAACGTGCTCACCTTGTCGGTCATGTTCTAAATGCCGCAGCTGAGTCAAGTTATGTGGGACATGTCCCTTCCACCTAAGCAGTCCAGTCCCGTATGACCCTATGGTAAAACGAGGAGGTATGACTTGATGCAAGATTGCTGTGCCCCATTTCTCTTTTTTCAGCTTGACTCAATGTTATTTATCTCTTTCTAATCTGACAGGGATCGTTTACAGTTAAGATAACTGATCAGAAGGATATGATGATAAGAGGTGGAATAGTTCTGTTTGGAATTAAACTCTGTAACCAGTAGACTCAAACACAAACAAGCTAAAATGGTGATTAACGATGCATGTATGTTTTTTTCATATAGTCAATAGACCTCCGTGTGCTTTTTTTTATTTATTTATTACAGTAATGAAGTGGTGTTGATAGCTAAACTGTGTGCTTTTATTTAATTGAAAGAGCTGTAGTGAAAGTTTTTTGGGGGGGTTCTTTTTAATTTTGTTTTTGTTGTTGAGGAGTGACTTTGCCATGGGGAGCAAAGGGACTTTTTTTTTCCTTGCTTTCAAGCTGTAGCCTGTGACTTTTTTAACCGTATTTTGTAGTGAGTGCTAAATCGTGTGACTTTTTGATTTTTAAGTAAATCAATGTGTTGCTTGCATGTTCGTAATTTTTTGGGGGGGGGTGTTCTTGGGAGGGGTGTGGAGCTCCTTATTAACAATGTGCGTCCATTTGGGCTTTCTAATTTGAGAATTTTTTTTTCTTCAATCTGTCTTTAATACATAGCTCATTTCTCCTTTACTTGAGTATACTATTCCTAAGTAGATCTAACTCTTGCTTCTTACAGGCTTATAATTAGGAGGTGAAGTCTGCTTTAAACTTTCCATACAGTGTCACTTCACTAATGCACACTGACTGAGAAACTCATTGCAGAATAATGCATTTTGCTAATTAATGAGTAAGCTAACAATAAAGTAGGGAAAATGTGTCACAAATGTATTTTGTTTATTTGACTAGAATAGCTTTAGACTATTGTACCTAGCTGTTATTAAGCAATGATAGCTTCTTGGTAGTTTGATTTGTAGAAACAGTAGGAAACAGTTCCTGTCCTCAAAACTGTAGGAGAAGTTTTCCTAGTACTTTTGAAAGAGAATGTTGATTCTTCTGAGACACATGGGGAGGTTGTGGAAAACTTTTTGTCATCTTTTTTTTCTTCTTATGATTATCCTTTACTGTATTTTGTTTGACTACTTTGAAGTGTGAGGAAACGACAGTGTATTTGCAGTGATCAGTTCATGATGCCTGTGGTAAGGTAGGCAGGAGGCGGAGCGCGTTGTCTCCAGAGCTGTTAAAGCACTTGTTGCAAAGAGGAACCAGTGCACTGGCCGAGTATTTGCTGAGCACAACAGAAAAGGAGAACCTGTGGCAATCCCTGGCTTGCAGGACTGTGCAAATGTAGGGCTCTTTCTTGCTTTCCTTACCCAGAGCCAACAACAGATCATGTAAATAGTGTTTAGGGCAGAGAAATTCTTCCAGCAGGCTGAATAGGGTTTTATTTCTAATGCAATGTACATAAATCTGAAGAAAAGGAATGTTGGTCGCAGGGTCATGTATATATGAAATTGGTTCATTTTTAATCCTTGGCTTTTGCCTTTCTTTTACTATGTGCAAACAAAGGAGATTACTAATCCTGCTTCCTCCGCCAAATTTCCAATGACTTGTACCTTTTCTAAAGCATGTAGTTCAGATTAAGAAGAACTGCATTCATTAGGATAAATGAACATCTTCATTCACTATTTTACTTGACAATGAGAGGGGTTGTTTCAGTGCTTACTTGAATCTGCTTTTATTGAAGAGTTCACTCTTGGAGGATGTTACACGGATTGCACTGAAATACATGGTCACCTTAAAGCCTTTCTTCCTCCTGTGCAGCTGCACTTTTTAAAAGTACACTTTACTAATATGCTATGTAAAATGGGTCGTAGTGGTGATTCACTACAATACTCTGCTAATCCATACACAAAAGCTCCCAATGTGTTGTGGGTTGTGTTTTTTTTTTTCCTACCAGAGCGCAAATTAGTGAGGTGCTGCCATATTCTGGTATGGTCAGCAGTGTTTTGATACGATTCTCCACCTATTAAACAAGAAAGAGAAAATAATTGGATTATGTTACATTACTTTTACTGAGAAGATGCAGAAGTACAATATTCTGAATTAAGTACAACATTATTGTGGTGGAGGGAGCCAGAAACTAGATTAGCTTCAATGCATGAAGCATTTAAAATGCTGGGAATTTTTCTTTATCCAGTGCTGCAGGATCAATTCATCCACCAAATAAGATTTCTCCCGGCTCTTTACATTCAGCATCTGTCTTACTGTTGGTGCGTTTCATAGAAAGCTGTTTGATCACAGGACTGGTTATCTATACAGCTCTGTTTTCAGGATTGTTTATTAAAATACTATCTCTGAATTCAATAGGAATTTATGGAGGGGGAAGATGACTTTGCCTGCTAAGATAGCTTTTCTCCTTTTGCTTATGTAATTTTTACTTTAGTATTGGTGGGAAAATATGGGGTTATACACAGGTATTGGTGTAGGATATGACTTGTTCTGTTGGAGAGATTTTTTTTCCCTTTATTTTCTGTCTAAAACTTGTACCTCAATCAAAATGAGAACATTTCCGCTATTTTTAGTAAGACCAGAATTAAATCCACAGTTATTAAGTTCATTATCAAATAGTTAGCTGGTAGTACCTGCTTGGTATTATTTTCCAAGAGTTAGGCAATTCTGCCTTTCTTAAGAGAGAAGGAAAAGCCCTCTCTTGAGTTTATGATCAAAAGACCTGTATGATACTAAACCACGGATAATCTGGAAAGAGGGAATGAAGCTGGAACAGTCGGAAGTTAACCTGCAGAATGCTAAATGTCCTCTTAATGGTATCAGGCAAAAATTTAAAAGGAAGCGTATTAAGGGTCTTGTATGTCTTGATGTTTACGTAACCTATGTCTGCTATAAGGAAAGCTGTGCATTGGTGAAAATCTACTCTTTAATTATGCTTACAAAACCAGGCAATGCCCCGCAAGAGCCAAAGCAAAACATTTCGTTCAAACTTAAATATCTACTTTCACAAGAATCCAATGTTGAGAGTCAATGATGTGCTACTACTGCTGAATTTCTATATGCGACAGCTTTATGCATTAGTCTAGAAAGTCCTTTCTTTCCTTTGAAACAATTATCTTTCACTTTATTATTGCTTGTAGGATTATTTTTGAGGTCTTAGTTAAACACAAACCTTCTGTTATAACAACAGTGAAGGTCTTAAGGCACATGGCAGGAGCGTATGTCATTCAATTTTTAATATCCCAAAGCTACAGTTGCTGCTAAAGTTAAATGTGGCTTCCCTTTTCCTTTATTGCAAAAGTGTAAAACAGTAAATATATGTTCCTAAATAAAAACTACTGCCAGGAAAGAAAGCTCAAACCATGTGTAATTCTCACCCTGTTACTCTCACAAGTAAACCAGCAGCTTTTATTTAAAATTAAGGATACTAAGGATATCCAGCGTAACTGGGAATTGCTTTTTCAGCTTTTGACCTGGCAGAGCATTAAAAGCAGTTGGGTTCTGAATGGCTGAGATCTACATGTGCTGGCCTCTGCAGTAGGTAGAAATTTACTTTGGCCATATAAAGCCATTTTACTTGACTCAAAACAGTTGTAGCATGACAGATGATCAAAAATAGCCCCACTGCAGCTTATGCTGTCAATCATCATGTGTGAAATGGCATGGTGGTGAGGAGCCTGCACAGGGTTTATGTTTATTGTAGGGTAAGATGTGGCAAACAGATAATGTTTCATAACTTCACCACCTGTTAGCTTCTTGGCTTAAATAAAACAAGTCACAAGAGTTTAAGTTGGAGCACATGTATCTTTCTGTCTTGTTCCAGGACATGGCCCAGTGTCCTAATGCCTTCAGAAAATCTTAGTAACATCAGTTCAAGTCAACACAGGGAGCTAGATAAGCTTGCTTACTGTCTCTTCTGTTAGAATTACTCCCTTTCATAAATGCTGTATGTAAAGATTCCTTTCTTGTGGTGTTAAATGGACTCTTAATGATGCAGAATAGGCTCTCGGTGACTTCAAATTTGGTTCTATACCTCTTTCTTTAGTACAAAAAAAACGTGGTGTTATATTTATTAGGATTGTACTTGATTGGTGACCAATAGAAAATGCTTGTTTATGCTCATCCATTTTGTATGGAGAGCTCAGGTAATGATGTGTATTTAAATGCACAGAGCCAGCTTAAGTATGCTTGAAATGCACTTCTGGCTAATCACTTCATAAATTAGGTGAGTGTTAAAAACCCAACTTACTGTTTTGTTTTATGTTTTCTTTCCTTTCCCAATCCCTATTTGTCACTCTTTTTTTTTTTTTTTTTTCATTTCTCCCTTCACGCAGTAGGAAATGAATTTCATTGACATGTTGGGTTTTTATGATTGTAGTGTTCATGTCTTAAACATGGCAACTGAACATTTCTCTCTGCTAACATTCCTGTTCAATCAACTGAGCTCTTTTTTCATAAAAAGAAAACCAGGCTGTTCTAAAACCTGACTATCACTTATTTTAAACTATGTTTTGCTACAAATCTAGTTGACAGTGTCCCTTCTGATTGAAATGTTTCCTTGTTGACCACTTAAGTAAATCTTGAAGTTACTTTAAAACAGAAACAAACAAAAAAAAACCCCTTTCCATTGAATCTTGAGTTTGGAGAAAAGAGGACAGTTTTTACCGTTGCAATTTGCATGTGTGCTTACAGTGCACTAAAAGGTTGGTGCAGTCTTTACAGTTGTCTGTAAAGGTAAAGTTCAGTATGAAATAGTAGTAAATCTGCACAAGCAGTTTTTCATGCATTTATAAAGATTCATTGACTGGAAAGGAGTTGCATATAAGAAGGACTTCTCTATGGAAATCCAGATGCAAGACAGGGTTATGAATGTAAAATTAGAATTATATTGAGTAAATTATTTTTTCAAATCATATTATATGATAAAATACAACTATGAGATGAACTTGTATGTACACTTGTGTGCTAAGACAACAATATGACCAATTTTCAAAACTGAAGGGCTAAGTAAAGAAGCCAAGGAAGCAAGTTTTGTGACTTGGGGACAATGGGAAAGTGTGTGTACTGATCTGTTCAGAATGGTTATTTCTTAAGCTGTAAATTTGGGTTTTTTTGCTTTTGTTAAGCACCAGATCTATTTAGACTTAATCCTATGCCCACCTCCCAAAAAACTCTATGCTGTATGTCTTGCATAGAAATAAACAAGCTGGCACAAAACAGGACATCAGTGGCCTGATAATCAAACAGGTTTGACCCTTGTGTCCTTACGAACTTTTATAAAAGTGTGATGCACATGTACTTAGGAGTCACTGTTATGGATTTTAATAGCATCTATGTAGCTTCCCCTCAATGGCCTCTTGTGACGGAGTGAGCTGCACTATGGTTCGTTTGGAAAGTGTGATTCTTGCTGTGTTTACCACACTTGTGAACTTTATTTAAACTCCTTTGTCGCCTGTGTTGGTTTTTTTCTTATTTTTAATAAGGGTGACTGAGGTTGCAGAGAAATTAATGTGTGCTGAGTCTGCATAGCAACTTAAGTAGGGTTGCCACAATACACTCTCCCCCCGAATCCCTGAGAAGACTTTACATAAAGTCAGGGTTCAACCATTTTGTTGCCTTATTGGCTATTGTCAAACTCATTATAGTGATGCTGTCAAGCTGCTCAGTTACTAATAATAAAAGTATTGCAGGAAATAATTTTACTAAGACTCAAATAGTTAAGTGAGAAGCAGGGTAATAAAAATGACTTGCAGGTGATTTGAAAAACAAATACCGCAATTTTCCAGATGGAATAATCAAGCTTACTCCTGTAGAATTGTCCTAAAACTGACATCAGTAATCCCGGTCATTCTAAAGATTTTAATAGCATGAAACATAATATCCTTAAGCAACATTAAACACTCCTATTTAACTCAGCTATAACGCTGTGCTTTGGAGCGATGCATCTCTTCGGGCCAGTGAACTGGTAATTGGTCCATTGAGTCTGGTTATTGTGGCAACCCTATGCACATAACAACAACTAAATTGAGTTTGTTTTAGTTCGGAGTATGGATGTGACGCTTAGGCGCTGACTTGCGTGCCAACTCTAACTCCCTCTCCCATCTTTCAACAGGATACCTGCTCACTATGTCTATCCACAGGCTTTTGTGCAGCCCGGAGTGGTAATTCCCCACGTTCAGCCCGCA